ATGATCCCTATAAGCCACTCTGATCAGTTTTAGACTGAATTACTATAGCACATATCCCCCATGTTGCAAATGTTATGACATCTAAGCAAGGGTATTTTGTATGAAGGTCTCCTTAACAGGGGCAACATCAACCAGAATGTGCAAGATAGAATTCCGCTGAAATCCATTATCTTGACCATTTAATGAAATGGGCATGATGAAATCCCTTTGTGGTTCATGTATGCTCTTGGAGCTCATCAGCTTGTCTGAGGACACATCAATGGGAACATATCACATCATGGCTTCATAGAACATTCTGTCAGATCAGGCTAGAATTCAAAACCCTGAAACTCACCTGATGGACAAACACCTGCATAAACTGCTGCTAGCTCATTGAATTTGCTGAACATGTTCTGTAGCAACACTGCAGCTGAAAGGTCCGATATTGAACATAGATCAGTAAGGATCAGTAAGGATCAGCAAAGGGCCAGCCATGTAGATCTTCATTCTCCACTGCTTGCCTGACACAGGCCAAGACTGGTACAGATGCAGGTTCCCACTCTCAAGCGGGTATTTCCTTAGTCTGCACCTGATACATCAATTTGACCCGATTCTGTAAAAATCTGATGTTTTGGGAAGATGCCTCATAGTACATGTTCCTCTGTTCATAACTTTGTATAAGTAAATGGATGCAGGAGTACAGTGAAGCCAGAGTATTTACAGAAGTGCAAGTCATAAACATGGCTTGGTGAGAGAGATTATTTTGGATGATACCTCTGCGTTTTAAAGTTTCATTCACCTTCTCAAAATTTACAAAGCCCATGAGAGAAGAGGCTTGTTTCCTGAACACTGCCTTCAAAGCAGTGCTGGATACATTAGAGGGAAGGCAATTCTGGTCACAAGTCGATAATGACCTTGGGTGGCTATCATAAAACAGTAAGTAGCTGAATAGGTAATCTCAGTCTAGAAGTGGTTAAGTAACCACAGCATCTGTAATGTGCCAGTCTCACAAGCAGAAAAGAATAAATGGGTAGGAAGCTGGTTAGTTTATAGATCTTCCAAAACAGTTCTTGTAGCTGGCAACATGGATTGTCTGTTTTTTGTTGAGTAATGGAAATCTAGATGCATAGATTACCCCTCCACCCCTTTTATTATAGTCTAATACCTTAAAACTAAGTCCAAAGTTAGCTTGAAAATAGCGGGAAAAGATGTTGCAAAAAATTAGTCTGAAGTATTTTAATGGTACAGGCAAACAAAAATTAGGGCCACAAAAGACACATAGATTTTGGTAAGAGTCACCGGACATAATGCACTAAGCATACTATCAAGATAGGAAAAGAGAATTTACTAAAATAGAGCCTTTAAACAACTGGAAATAGATTTTTTTTTTTTTTTTTTTTTTAAAGCTAGACATACCATTTTTCTATAGTAAAGTTAGCGTGGCTATTATGAGCATGCAGACATAAAGACCTTTTAGAAGGAGAAACCAGCATCAAAACATGATTGTAAGTGACTATATAATAAAGCCCAGTCCTTCCCACACATATATGTGCATTCATGCCTGGCTGCTTTTAATTTAAATATAAGGAAAGAATGGCAGTCCTCACAGCAGAGAGCAGCAGAAAAGGAAGAAGGTCCCTCTGCTTCCCTGATGCCACATGACTGTTCACAGATTTCATCTTTTCCCTTCCAAACTGAAAATAAGTCTCAGAGGCTGAAGACCGCCAGTGAATAAACTGCGTTGCCCACGCCTGTCAGACTGTCTGCGCTCTGCTCTTCTCATGCTGACCCTATTAGATTTGACTATTAAAAAGCAGCATTGGGCCATGTCAGCTCTTGGGTGGGAGACTGCCAAGGCACACTTCCATGCTGCTGGCGTTTGAAAGATTGATAATGATCCTGTGTAATACTTTTTTTTCTTTTAACCCAGGCAGTTCTGCATGGGGGTCTGTTCCGTGGCGCTCATAACGCTGTCTTGTAGAATGAGGTGTAAAACTCAAATCCTGATTGCCTGTGGCCGTTGAAAATCCCGCGGCACTATTTACAAATATGCAAGCAATTACAGCAGACTGGAAGTGGCCAAACTGGTAATTCTATTCTGCCAACATAAATCCTCCCACTGTAACTGAATGTGAATTTTTTTTTTTCATCTCACAGCATAAACTTTAAAGTCTTGTTGTAAAATGCTCATTAGCCATCAAATATCTTTATGGAGTAGCACTTGCTTTACAATACAGGGTGAAAGGAAGTTTCTTCTACAGGTTGTGAGACACTGAGGCTACTTTAGGATAAAAGCTCCAACACATCAGTTTGCTACAGCAGAAAACGAACGGATTGGTTTATAGTGGCATTTGATAGTATATGTCTCTTCATCTATCAGCAGCTCTTCTTCTCAGACCAACTGCACTGTTGTACTTTATTCTCCCACGCATTGATACAAGGTGACACCTTGGAATTTTAAGTTTTTGCTGTTAATTAAAAGACTTGTTCCTCCCAAAAGATTGGGAAGAAGCCAAGATTTCCAGTTTTAAATTTGAATTTGACTCATATTGGCATAGCTTTCAGGTGCAGAGGGTTTTCTTGTACTTTGCTTTGAACTCAGCACCCTGTGAATATCTCTATGTGGCAGTTTGGACTAAGGCAAATTCCAGGCAGCAGAAACAGAATTGTCTAGATCCCATTAAAAATAATCCCTAAACAAATGCATAAAGGGCTATGATATTACAATTCATGGCTTATCACTGCCTGATCTGCTTTACAATTTAAAGGGAAAAAATGTAGACACATTCCCTGGCACAACACAGTTGGATAAAAAAAGTGGCATCCCTTTGACCTGCACATCCTGGTACCATATCAGTACCTTTTACTTCTTCTTGTATTAAGAAGAGACCAACCAAGTCACAATTTGATCCCAGAAGCATGGAATAATGTGCTTATATACACCCAGCTTGAATCCATGATTTCAAGTCCGTAGTTTGAAGTTGGTTGGTGCTGGTCCCTCACAGTAAGACATGGGATGCGGGTCAGAAAATGAATTCTAAAACAGAGATGCAGATTTGGCAGAGCACTCTTCACTGAGCTCAGTGTCAGTTTTTCTAAATAAAGATGGAATTAACACTTGTCTGAGAAATGTCAGCTTCAGAGAAACCCTGATAAGTGAAGGTCTTACAGTTTATCAGTACATTGTGCTATATAAAGCGGAAAGTTGTTTATAAGGTTTCCATGCATATGCTTATTCCCACAGCTACATACTAATAAATTTTTCATCAAATTGAGAGAGATGACAGAAACATCAAATGGCTCATGCAGCTGAAGAGCACGCCATTGTCTTCTTCTTGGGTACTTTAATTCAATGTTTTAATATTTTACAGCTTTCGTACAGATCCCAGTGAACTTTATCAAGCCAGGTGTCTGATCTACAGCCACAACTTCATATTGCTTTAACTGAGACAGAAAAATGGATTTCTATCTTTTGGCTACTGAGAAGCCAGTGCCTTTCTTTTGTTTAGTTCAGCTTACAGAAATAATTGCAACTCTTTCAGGAAGAGGACAAAGAGTATTCAGCAAAAAGCACTTTGAAATTGCAGTGCTTGTTTCTGAGTTACTGTTCTGAGAGCCTGATCCAGAAGCAACCAAATTCAGTAACTTCTCAGTTTCAGCAATCTTTGGATCAGGTTTCTAAAGGGTTATTCTTTACACTCCTCCTAATGCTGTGTCATACTCAGACTGCAAGGCCAAAAAGAAGAAAGCCCTTGCATTTAGCTTTGAATACAGAATGGAATCTTAATTAGCATTCACATTCAGCTTAATTCCAGTCAAAAAAAAAAGTTTTTACCATTAACAGAGGAGCAAAAGGTAAGCTGATGCACATTGCTTCACTAAATCTTACCCATAGATCTCTCTGATGGAAAAACCAGTGCATACGCTACCATCAGCACATGTAATTAGTGGCAGTATACACAAAGAGGTATATCCTAACTAGGTGCTAGAAAAAAATGTGAACTAGTTGTCTGTATACAGAAGTACATGGAAAAATTACTGGAGAGTGGCATGACTATATCCGGGTGCCTCTGCTATAAAAACCATTTGTATTGCCCTTACTTCTCTGAATAAATTCAAATGACAGCCCCATTTCATTTCTTCATTCAGTCTGGAGGCCAGATGGCATTAGAATCATTTACTTCACCTTGTTGTGCTTAATTACTACAATCAACACACTATTTTCCAAATTAATCATAACAAAGTAATTTCATTAGTAACACAGCAGGCTGTTGAATTATTAGCATCATAACAGTTTGCAAACAATTAAACTTTATTTGAACCTTAAAAATTTGCAGAGTAGAACATTATTGTAAGATCTAATGGCAGTATAGTACAAACCCAGAACAGAGCAAATAATCAAGTAAAACGCTGTACGAAATATGACTTACAATCGCCTTTTAAAAAATTAGCTGTCTTACTGTTAACAGAAAGGCAAGTGCAACCTAAGTAAACAAAGAAAATAAAGCAATTAGCGTTTTCTACCACCGAGTTTGGTTTACGTTGTATTAACAGAGATGTTCTTAGCCAAAAAAGGTTATGGTATTGGCACAGATTGATAGTAAACAATTCACCCGGGGTCCGTGGCTGGTTTACTCCAAGACACTTCAAGTGGGTTCCAGGACATCTTTCACGTTTTGAATTTTAAGGCAGTTTGTTTACTCCCCCCGATATGGACTAAGGGGCGGGGGGGGAAGCCCTAAAGGAGAACTACAGACAAAAGGCACTTTTATTTCTCTGGCTGCCACCACCCAGGAGAGCAGCCGCCCGGCAGGCCGCTCCCCATCGGTTGGGTAAGGACTCCCTCTCCTGGACAAACGGCAGAAGCGGCGCGGGGGAGCCGGCGCTGCCGGGCCCGGACGGGGCGAAGGATGGGCGGGCGCAGGCGGC